GCCATCCCAGGCAAACAGCTCAGGAGATCCCATTTCCAAAATAAACAAAGCAAAATGGACTGGAGGTGTGGCTCAAGTGGTAGAGCACCTGCTTTACAAGTGTGGCGCCCTGAATCCAAACTCCAGTCCAACCAAAAATAAATTAATTGGAGGAGAGAGAGATAAGAAAATTCAAGGTTGCTAGAATTGTGCTTATGTCCAGGAAGATTGATGCAAAAGGAATGGAAGTACATATGCTGAGGCCGACAAAGAGTTACTTAATAAAGCTATTCATCAAGAAATTATGGACGTTACAAGTGACATATGAATATACAATAATGGTAAAACTTCCTGATAATAAAAGAACCATTGGAGCAACAATGAAATATCATGTTCTGCTTATCAAGTTTCAAAGTGTAAAAAATGATAATAGTGTCTGAGAGCATGGAGAAAAAGGGATACCTAATTAATGCTGATGGGGGAAAAGGCTAGAAACAACATGGATGGCAATTTGTAAAAACACATAAAAACACTATTAACATTCAACACGCACAAATTCATGTTTCAGCAATCAGATATGTCTATCCTTTCCTGAAATTGATATGATAAGCCACATATATGACCAACCGTTGAAGAGACAGCTTACGTGAATTATGAAATAAAGGAATTTGCTGTAACCATTACTGACCACATTTTAGACAAGTTTCTATCAGTATAGAAAAAAAGGATTGTAGTCTATGGCCATACCACCCTGAACACGCCCTATCTCCTCTGATCTTGGAAGCTAAGCAGGGTTGGGTTGGGCCTCATTAGTACTTGGATGGGAGAAAAAAAGTATTGTATATTTTAAGGGAAAAATAGGTTATGAAAAATCTTTATAGTACAATGACAAAATTTTTAGTGTGTATTTGAATATATACATATTATGAATGAAAGAGTACTTGAAGACACCCAAAAATTTTGATTGTTAACTTTACAAGTGGTTTACATTTTCTTCTTTAAGATTTTGTTATTTCACGAATTACATTGAAATTAAAATGTACTCTGCTTCTAATTGGGATAATGTATTTTTTTACTTATATTTCTGGGTGTTTAAATAACTAAAGGCATTGTATATGGATCCCCTTTCCTTATCTGTTTAAACAGCTGGTCTCTGTGGTTCTCTCTGTTCCTAACATTTTACAAATACATTTATAGAAGACAGAAAGTGATGTAGCCACATAAGCACACGAAGAGCAAAACTCATACATGAAGAAATACACAATGTCATAGTCAGAAAGAATGAGAACTTCAGAAAGCCTATGTCAAAATTTTCCCTGTGGGCTCATTCTGATGGGCACCTGGGCTGAATGGTGACATCTGAATCAGTACTACTGTCATTTAAAATGATGACAATGACAAGGACGATGAGGACAACAATGACATGACAATGGAAAAATCAACAGGTGTAAGTTGAAGTATTCTGCTTTGGGCAAGGTAGTACATGTCATTTATAGACTGCATTATGTGTTAAGATGCTCACTTTACATATAAAAAGAGTTGTAGAAATTAAATAACGTTCAAGGTCTTATGACCAATATTCACCCTTCAATATTCCTTATAATTTCTGTACTTTTAACCAAATTTCATCTTTTTATTATTATTATTATTATTATTGTGGTACTGGTGCTTGAACTCAGGGACTACAACTTGAGCTACTCCACCAACCCTTTTTGTGTATGTGTGATGGATTTTTTTGAGATAGGGTCTCGGGAACTATTTGCCCAGGTTGGCTTGGAGCCACTATCATCCTGATCCTGCCTCCTGAGTTGCTAGAATTACAGGCGTGAGTTACCAGTGACTGGTTGTCTTTTATTATTTCAATGTAAGGGTTTATTTCACTCCAGGCTTTTTTCAAGGCTTTGAGAGGAACAAAGAAATTTTCTCTGTAACCTCAAATTATTCAATTTACTAACAATGTTTGGATTCCCTTTGATTTATACACCATCAGATCTTATTTATTTTTTTTTTTTAAGAAAGGGCTGCTTTTAATTATGCTTGAAAGTTAACACTAAATGATTTACAGTTTGGAAGTTTTTTTAAATGAAAAATGAGTCTCTTGTTGATGTTATGAACAATGGGTTGAGAGAAATCTTAAAAATAATTAAGTTAATTTTGCTGTACAGGTGTTTGAATGTTTTATCAACCTTCACCAAATCTGATAAGAATGGCATAGCAATGATTGTCCCAATGGAGAAAAAAATATTCTCAAGTCCATGGATCACATTCCCATGTTGCCATGGCTAAATTATGCCAAAAGCCTGGATTCTATGACCCATGGAACCAAATGATTAAAGAACAGAACGTTGATATTTTGAGAAAGGGGTGCTATGTAATGTACCTTGAAATACAGAAAAGTTGAAATGGACCATTACTTATGAGAATGTTCTGTCCTTCCCTAAATCCACATAGGAGAAGAGAAATGAGTACCAAAAATAAAGGATTTAAACTCCCTGCAAGGACAACTCCTAACAGTAAGAGGTACTAAAATATGAACAGAATTTTGAAAGGGACTTAAATGTTTACCTAAGTTCTCATTGCACAAATAAGTAACATACAAATCTCTAGGATTTACTTTTCTTCTTCAAGAAAAAAATCATGCTTGTATAAATTACATTAGGCTAATCTTGGGTTATCCTAATCTCTGGCATAAATAAATACGCGTTTTCCCTTTCACAGCTGAGCATTCAATGGAACCATATTTCTCCTCTGTTACAGGAGTTCGTGTAACAGATACTGTTCCACTTTATTATATGGGAACAGATTGTTAAGAAGATTAAAATTTTCTGTACCCCAAACGAACTTTAAGTAGAACACATCAGTTCCAATTTTCTTGCTCCTGCATAGTCTCATCTAACTGCAGGAATGGACATTAAAGACCCCGAACTTCCATTTCTTTTTGGCTAATTTCCTCAGGGTTAAACAGTAAGGTCAACAAGAAGTGTGAATGCCATCCCAACCATGCAGCATGCCTGTGACCAGCTTTCCTCTGAACTGGAAGCCTAAATAGTGGTGTTGGGTGAACACTGAGTCCCAAACATTAGGCATAATCTAGTCTTAAAATTAATATGAACTTTGCGTATTTATGTAATGAAGTTTGTATTTAGAAGGACATTTTCTCCTTAAAACTTAACACCTTTACAGCACAGTAAGGGCTCTAAAATTTGCATTTTGGGTCTCGGAAGTCTAAGCACAATTTTATCATGGGGAACATACTAAGACGATACTCATATATTAAAATACACTTGTAAAAAATAATTCTGTTCTTTGGTGGGTTTTTTCTGTAAATAATAATATACCGGAGTAATAATGTGGGCTCAACTTCTGAGAAAGCTACAAATAAAATTCTTTCAGGGATAAAGAGCAGCAACAAATAAGCTAAAACTAGCGTTTCCTTTTCCTTGTGCAATAATTGACTCAATCCATGCTTGATTTAACACCTCTGAAAGAAAGAATGTGAGAACACTCCTCCTCAAACAGAAGCCAGCCTTGGCTCTCCCAGGCTCAGCTTCTTGTTTAAGAGCTCTCTCAGAATGCCTTTATGTTGTCTATACATACTAATATATCCATGTTTTGTTTTCGGTGCAATTTAGTTTCTGGAAAATCTGCTTTGACTTAACAATTCCCTTGAATATTACCTCCCACAAATTCTCAGCTAACAAGGAGAAACCCAATGGAGGTGGCAGGTTCTTTACCAAGTAGATCTGCCGTCTATGAATGCCTTTCTAAAGTGACATAACTCTTACAATGTTTCCAGCCCTCCGCTGCTTTGAAAAGTCTAGTTTCCACTCCATTTACTTTCTGTATTTGAGAGATGGCATAATTAAACAGAATCAGCTCTAGTCAAGACCAAACAGTGTATGTATGTGATAAATTAAGTGTACCACTAGAATGAAATGAAAGACAAAAAAGGACTTTCAACAAAGTGGTAAGGAATGACCTAATTTTGAGATGTATTTTATTTTTACCTCTTGCTTTAAATAAGCACCTTTAGGAAACAAATAATCACAGCACTGATACCCTGAAGGATTCTGGAAGTAAAGGAGGTTTAAAAACCAGAAGTTTTAAAAATATACCTATTTACATGGTCATAACTGCTACAAAATGCAGTTCCTGTTTTAATTCTCTTTTTGTTTTTCTTTCTCTCTCCCTCCCTCCCTCCCTCCTGCCCTTCCTCCTTCCCCTCTCTTTCTTTCAGTCCTCCCTCCCTTCCTCCTGGCCTCCTTCCTTCCAGCTTTCCTTCCTTCCTTTCTTTCCTTTTTTTCTTTCTTTCCTTCCTTTCTCTCTCGCTCTTTCTTTCTTTCTTGGTGCTGGGGGTGAACCAGGGCCTCCTGCATGCACAGCACTTGCTCCACCACTAAACTGCACTCTTGACTTTCTAACATGATGAGTAGCTGCCTAAAGCAATACATATATTTTTATTCTACAAAACAAACTAAACCAAATAGGCAAAAATGTTTTAAACAAAAAAGGAGAAACATATATTTTTTATGGTAGATATAGCTTCACCCACATTTTTGTCTAGATTTATAATTTTTCTTTCATCTTCCTTTAGACTTCCATTTTTGCACAAACATGTTAAACATCAAATGCCACAAAACAGATGGTCTTTTTCTTATAAATCTATTTAAGACAAAAAAAAAAAACATGGAAAGTCATATGCTTATCAATCAAATAATCTGTCACTGTTTTATGTTCTTCTTAATAAAAGAACTATTTTTGCTCAACTAAGCCAACTATCCCCAAGGAATTCAAAATTACATGTTCTTGACTGCACTATTTAATTCAATTGTCTGAGTTTATTAGCTGAAGAGTAATCAAGAGAGCTAACCCCATTAGGAGTTATAAACCAAACAGTAGAATTAACAAGCAGCAATTAGCAAAGTAATTCTTTTTTTCAGTTACATCTGCCTGGCATCAATGTCCTCAGAATCTACACCCATAGAAGGCTCACACTTTACAATTACCCTTCTTCTACATACTGGGAATTTGTTGGATCCTGTGGACAACGACAAATGCATCTGACAGCCCCACTTTCACTGGATGATTTGTTGAACTTATCTGTGTAACCAAGACAGGGATCTGGAAAAGAAAAAGTAGATTGCTATGTGTTAGATGTGAATTATACTCAGGATGGGAAGTGTGACCATCTTTGCTTAAAGAACAAAATCAAGTAATTGAGGTGAAACACTAGAGACAGCAGAAATACCATGGAGAAAGACTTACAATACTCAGAGTAATATTGCTTTAGTGCTATTCCATGTTTTACAGTTACAAGAGAGCTGCTGGTACTGGAGATGGCTATTTGGTATGGAAACTAAGCACTCAGAGCATCTAATTGATGCTGAATGCTGTAAACTTATCAGGCAGATAGGGTCACCATTTAGTACTGGCTATGATTTCAAGAGTAGAGATTCTTTTCTTACTATTTGTTTCCCTAAATTACTTTTTCAATATTTATTTCTCATGGAATTAAAAAAATCCTTGTTGACAAGTGGTCTTATATCTATAAAACCTAGAAAAAAACAAATAAGTGCACTGCTAAATACATATTAACCATGCCACTGTTGGTTACTAAATATTAGTCATATATGATTGATTTAATTTATAGTTATGTTTGACAATTAATGTACATCGAGTTTGCCATTCTAGTTAAAGCACCTAAGGAAAAGTTATTGAGTGCTATAGGACATCTCAAGATCATATACTAAATTTAAAACTTAAGGGAACATGATAGATTTTTCTAACTTTGCAACTTAAAAAAATTAGGACACATTGAGAATATATGAAAAATGATGCAACTGTTACAAATGAGGCAACCTCTTGGAGCCTTTGTTCCTCAATATAGAAAGGATACCAGAGAGAACAATTACTCTCTTTATTATTACCACTTTTAAAGAAATAAAAATGGAAATATGACCATTCAAAAGGAATAAAGGGATGAGAGAGAAAAGGGAAGAATAAATACACAAAACATTTTTAGGAAGAAGTAGATTGTAGAACATTTGATGATAATTTATTAAAGAACATACTTGATCAGACACTGTTGTATATGCCATAATAAACAGAATAGCAGTAGAAGGGCAGGAGGCTGAATAGGATGGGAGTTAGAATAAAGAAAGTACAGCTTATTTTTCCCACGACATCATGAAATTTTAAAAGGGTATGCAGAGAACACCTTTGGCAGCTCTGAAGAGCGAGACCAAAATACACAGAGGTGGAGGAGACCAGGGGAGGGATAGCTGGATAAGGACCACAATTTAATGACAATATCACTTGCTTCAAAAGCTTTTCCTTAAAGTTTTATAGAGTTCATGAGCATGAGCCCATGGGTTCCAAACTATGATGTTTGTCCTTCTTAAATACTAACATGAAAATGTAGAAGACGCTTTCAATTCCCTGCATTTCCCTAGAAGCCATCAAGCCTTTTAATAAAATGATTGCATTCTCCGTTTAGAAAAAAAACTGTTTTTGCCAATTGAATTAAATACCTAATATCGTCAAAGATTAATGAGGAAAAGATGAACAAGTCCTGGCTTTCTCAGAGATTTCCTACAGAAATAGGTCTGCCTGATATTGTCATATCTTTCTTACTCTGCTTTCTTGGACTGCACTTTGTTACTCAAAATATCAAAGACTGCCAAGTAATCTGTCTGAGCACTCTGAGAACCAGGTATAAAATTAGAAACCATTAAGATGCATCAGAGAGACTGTTAAAAGCCACATTTAAGATGAAATATTTTTTGACTAATATCAATGAGGCTACTTGTGTGTATGTGTGTGTGCAAGCAAGTTATTTAGAATTATAGCCAGGGAAAAGATAAAATGATAGCCATCATGGAGCAAAATTAGCACAAAAATGGGTATGTTGTGTTGTCATGTTCATATATTCTATAGCGGGCTCTATATTTATACAGACATGAAGTACCCAATCAGTGAGTCCATGACCAAAGACCAAAGAAGATGTCAAAATACCAAAGCTCTAAAAACTTTCACTATGAGAAGCTTTATTATTATTATTATTATTATTCCTTTCTCCATCCTCAAAATTTCTCCTGAGTCAAACTGGGGATAGCAGGAGTCCAATCTGAAATAATCAAAACTCTGAATTACAGTTTTGTTTTGTTTTTTTAAGAAATGTGTCTTCATTATCTTTAAGTACCTAGAATAGATGTGTTTAATTACTAAAGCCAAGCTAAATTTGAACTGGGCCTCTGTGTGATGGGGATTTTGTATTTCTAATAATTGATTTTTAAGTATATTTGTTCTACAGGATAGCAAAGGAGCATTCACGACAGTCAAAATATGCTTTCATAATAGATTATGCAAACATTTGTAAGTCCTCTTTTTAAAGCATATTTGAATTTTTGCTCCATTTTACAAGTTACAGATCAGTTTATTATTTGGCATAAACTTTTGTACAAATGACACATTGAGGCAAATTAAGCACTGAAGAAAGAAGAGGTTTCAGTAGCAAGACAAAATTAAGGCAAGAGAAGATAGTAGGAGAAAGGAAGTAGGCATAGTACCCGCTCTGGGAAGAAGATTCAAGACAGAGCTGTTTTCCTCCCTCCCCACACTGTAGGATCACTTTCCTGGACAGGGGCCCTGCATAATCCTTAAAACATGAGCTATTATGTCTGTCTCTAAACCAGGGAGATAACAGCAAGGTGATGGAGGCAGAGGTAATGGAATTTTATTTCTTTCCTTTCTCTGTTCTGCCCTGCAAAGCCTGCCAAAACATTCATTTGTTTCCATTATGGGCCCTGCTATCTGTCTAATAGGCAGCACAGGTTCTCAGCAAGGGCTTGATTCTACAGTATGTGTTCCAAATGGTGAATCACATGCCTATCAGAATTTAACTGGAAAGGAATTACTCTAAACTCACTTATGTTCACTTGCTAATCGGCAAAAAGGTGTCTCATTGCTTAATATTAAAAATAACAACAAAAAATAAACCACAAAAAACTCGAAGCTTTGTATTTCACCTATTCTTTGTCTATTTTACCCACTCAACTCAACTTCCCACCTTATCTTCCTTAAATGTTTGATCTGAATTCTGAATTATTTAGCAGTGAATCTAAGATTCAAAAAGTTAAGCTCCCTTATTATTAACAAAACAACAAATAAAGCCAAAAATGTTAATGCCAATTGCCTGCAAACTACATTTGAATAGAAGGAATTTCAGTTGAACTTAACATTAATATTTTATTTGATTTCCTGAATATTGATAATTTACACAAATATTTTAAGACAGTAAGACTGCAAGTTCAAGGCCACCCTGGGCTACATAGCAAGATCCTGTCTCAAAAAAAAAAAAAAAATCATGACATCCATCCTGCCTCCAACTTCACAGTCATATCCTGTGGAAAGTCTGAAAGAAGGCAGATAACAGAATGCAGATGTTTAATACAGTCAGCCCTTGTATTCAAAGAGGAACTTCAAACTTCACATCTATTTAAGCTAGAGTGAACATGGAATAATGAAGAAGAACTTAGTGAGGAAGAAATTGGATAAGCATATTCTGAGCACATTTTCCAGTCAAATTTTGCCATGAGACAACACAAGTCAAGTGCTTCCAGGGCTTCTGGTACCCAAAGAAAAAAAATGCAAGTCTATATTTTTATCTGAATCTTCTAATATTTAAATGCTGGCAACATATTCATTTTTCAAAGACATACACAGCGTATATACCTGCACAAATCAGCGGGAACTCTGATTAAAGATTGCTCACTCCTGAATTGACAAACTGGAGTCTGAGCTGGCTACAAAAGAGAACAGGGAAGCAGGTGCCCACCTAAAAGGACTGTGCAACTTGGCTGGAGACAGTGAAGCCTGTGCTGGGGTTTTATCTGGGGTAACAGCCAGCCAAGAAAGCTTCCTGAACATGGCCTGGGAACAAAACACTGGGGGAAAGAAAGGTGAGGGAGGAAAATCTACACCTGGGGTTGGGGTTGGGAAGGCAATGGAATGCATTAGACCTTTTACCATCAGGACAAGAGCTGTTTAGTTATGAAACATCAGGGCAGGGAGAGTGGATATGGCCCAATAATGGGAAAGAATGCCTACTCTATGGTGGAAGCCTCTCGGTGTCATCAAAGTGTAAATGGAAGGGATGTAAAAAGCCCCCAGCAAGATCATGTAAGTTGCCCAAGACACCATAACCAGCTAAAGCCAGTGCCAACACTAGAACAGGCTTTTTATTTCTAAAATTATTTCCTCCAGAATATTTATTTTTCTATTTTGTTACTTCAATTACTCAGTTATTTTTCCTCACAGTGCTTGTTATTAGAACATAATAAATAGATAACCATTCAATTTGTTATTTTCTCATATTGCAGAAAGTAAATAAAAAGTTAAAATATAAAGAAACTAAAAAAAAATACATTCAAACATACAAATGAGTTAGACCATATAAAGCCATGCAGATAAAATTTTAACACTTCACATATTTAAAGTACAGGGAAGTTCTGTGATTTAGAATCATCTGTGTCCACTTTTTCCTTAGAAATATTTCTTTATAGCTAGGGGTATGCCTCAGGTGACAGAGCACCTGCCTAGTAAGTGTGAGGCCCCGAGTTCAAACCCTAAACTCCAATACTGCCAAAACCTAAAACAAAATAAAAATTAAAAAACCCTGGGCTGTTGGCATGGCCCAAATGGTAGAGTAGCTGCCTAGAACTATTTCTTAAGACTTTTTAATCAGCATTTTATTCCATTTGAATTCTTTGAACCTCATATAAATAATGTATACATATACATATATATATATGCATATTCATGTAATTTTTTCTACTCACACATTTATAAAGTTTCTTAGAAGTATATGCATTAGCTTTACATAGGTCAAATGTTTTTACCCATACAGCAATAGTCATAGAAGACAAATTACTTTACACTTAAATGGCAGTGGTCTCATTACTGAGTTCTTTTTGACCTCTCTTATTCTCTCAAATAGCCTTTTTCCCCAAAATTCTACACATTTTGCTAGTGTTCATCTTTTTAATACTTTCAGGCTGATACCCATGAATGAGGGGCCATTACAGCTTAAATAAGAAAAATAGTCTTCAAGGAAATTCAAA